TGTGTGTGTGGCGGCTTGGTGCCCTGGAAGGTGTATGGATTAGTGCCCTGGAAGATCTGTTGTTTAGTGCCCTGGAAGATGTGGGGATTAGTGCCCTGGAAGATGTGTGGCTTAGTGTCCTTGAAGATGTGTGGCTTAGTGTCCTTGAAGATATGCAGCTTGGTGCCCTGGAAGATGCATGGAATAGTTGCCTGGAAGATATGTTGTTTAGTGCCCTGGAAGATGTGTGGCCTAGTGCCCTGGAAGATGGGTGGCTTGGTGTCCTTGAAGATGTGTGGCTTAGTGCCCTTGAAGATCTGTTGTTTAGTGCCCTGGAAGATGTGTGGCTTGGTGACTTGGAAGATGTGAGGCTTAGTGCCCTTGAAGATGGGTGGCTTAGTGCCCTGGAAGATGTGTGTGTGGCGGCTTGGTGCCCTGGAAGGTGTAGGAATTAGTGGCCTGGAAGATGTGTGCATTAGTGCCCTGGAATGTGTATGGATTAGTGCCCTGGTAGATTTGTGGATAAGTGCCCTGGAAGATGTGTGGCTTAGTGACCTGGAAGATATGTGGCTTAGTGTCCTTGAAGATGTGTGGATTAGTGCCCTTGAAGATCTGTTGTTTAGTGCCCTTGAAGATGTGTGGATTAGTACCCTGGAAGATGTGTGGCTAAGTGTCCTTGAAGATGTGTGGCTTAGTGTCCTTGAAGATATGCGGCTTGGTGCCCTGGAAGATGTGTGGATTAGTGCCCTGGAAGATATGTTGTTTAGTGCCCTTGAAGATGTGTGGATTAGTGCCCTGGAAGATATGTTGTTTAGTGCCCTTGAAGATGTGTGGATTAGTGCCCTGGAAGATGTGTGGATTAGTCCCATGGAAGATGGGTGGCTTAGTGCACTGGAAGATGTGTGTCTTAGTGCCCTTGAAGATCTGTTGTTTAGTGCCATGGAAGATGTGTTGCTTGGTGACCTGGAAGATGTGTGGCTTAGTGCCTCGGAAGATGGGTGGCTTAGTGCCCTGGAAGATCTGTTGTTTAGTGCCCTTAAAGATGTGTGGATTAGTGCCCTGGAAGATGTGTGGCTAAGTGTCCTTGAAGATGTGTGGCTTAGTGTCCTTAAAGATATGCGGCTTGGTGCCCTGGAAGATGTGTGGATTAGAGCCCTGGAAGATGTGTGGATTAGTGCCCTGGAAGATCTGTTGTTTAGTGCACTGGAAGATGTGTGGATTAGTGCCCTGGAAGATGTGTGGATTAGTGCCCTGGAAGATATGTTGTTTAGTGCCCTGGAAGATGTGTGGCCTAGTGCCCTGGAAGATGGGTGGCTTGGTGCCCTGGAAGATGTGTGGCTTAGTGCCCTGGAAGATGTGTGTGTGGCGGCTTGGTGCCCTGGAAGGTGTATGGATTAGTGCCCTGGAAGATCTGTTGTTTAGTGCCCTGGAAGATGTGGGGATTAGTGCCCTGGAAGATGTGTGGCTTAGTGTCCTTGAAGATGTGTGGCCTAGTGTCCTTGAAGATATGCGGCTTTGTGCCCTGGAAGATGGGTGGCTTAGTGTCCTTGAAGATGTGTGGCTTAGTGCCCTTGAAGATCTGTTGTTTAGTGCCCTGGAAGATGTGTGGCTTGGTGACTTGGAAGATGTGAGGCTTAGTGCCCTTGAAGATGGGTGGCTTAGTGCCCTGGAAGATGTGTGTGTGGCGGCTTGGTGCCCTGGAAGGTGTAGGAATTAGTGCCCTGGAAGATGTGTGCATTAGTGCCCTGGAATGTGTATGGATTAGTGCCCTGGTAGATTTGTGGATAAGTGCCCTGGAAGATGTGTGGCTTAGTGACCTGGAAGAGATGTGGCTTAGTGTCCTTGAAGATGTATGGATTAGTGCCCTTGAAGATCTGTTGTTTAGTGCCCTGGAAGATGTGTGGATTAGTACCCTGGAAGATGTGTGGCTAAGTGTCCTTGAAGATGTGTGGCTTAGTGTCCTTGAAGATATGCGGCTTGGTGCCCTGGAAGATGTGTGGATTAGTGCCCTGGAAGATATGTTGTTTAGTGCCCTTGAAGATGTGTGGATTAGTGCCCTGGAAGATATGTTGTTTAGTGCCCTTGAAGATGTGTGGATTAGTGCCCTGGAAGATGTGTGGATTAGTCCCATGGAAGATGGGTGGCTTAGTGCACTGGAAGATGTGTGTCTAAGTGCCCTTGAAGATCTGTTGTTTAGTGCCATGGAAGATGTGTGGCTTGGTGACCTGGAAGATGTGTGGCTTAGTGCCTCGGAAGATGGGTGGCTTAGTGCCCTGGAAGATCTGTTGTTTAGTGCCCTTAAAGATGTGTGGATTAGTGCCCTGGAAGTTGTGTGGCTAAGTGTCCTTGAAGATGTGTGGCTTAGTGTCCTTAAAGATATGCGGCTTGGTGCCCTGGAAGATGTGTGGATTAGAGCCCTGGAAGATGTGTGGATTAGTGCCCTGGAAGATCTGTTGTTTAGTGCACTGGAAGATGTGTGGATTAGTGCCCTGGAAGATGTGTGGATTAGTGCCCTGGAAGATATGTTGTTTAGTGCCCTGGAAGATGTGTGGCCTAGTGCCCTGGAAGATGGGTGGCTTGGTGCCCTGGAAGATGTGTGGCTTCGTGACCTGGGATATGTGTGGCTTAGTGCCCTGGAAGATGGGTGGCTTAGTGCCCTGGAAGATGTGTGTGTGGCGGCTTGGTGCCCTGGAAGGTGTATGGATTAGTGCCCTGGAAGATCTGTTGTTTAGTGCCCTGGAAGATGTGGGGATTAGTGCCCTGGAAGATGTGTGGCTTAGTGTCCTTGAAGATGTGTGGCCTAGTGTCCTTGAAGATATGCGGCTTTGTGCCCTGGAAGATGCATGGAATAGTTGCCTGGAAGATATGTTGTTTAGTGCCCTGGAAGATGTGTGGCCTAGTTCCCTGGAAGATGGGTGGCTTGGTGTCCTTGAAGATGTGTGGCTTAGTGCCCTTGAAGATCTGTTGTTTAGTGCCCTGGAAGATGTGTGGCTTGGTGACCTGGAAGATGTGTGGCTTAGTGCCCTTGAAGATGGGTGGATTAGTGCCCTGGAAGATGTGTGTGTGGCGGCTTGGTGCCCTGGAAGGTGTAGGGATTAGTGCCCTGGAAGATGTGTGCATTAGTGCCCTGGAAGATATGTTGTTTAGTGCCCTTGAAGATGTGTGGATTAGTGCCCTGGAAGATATGTTGTTTAGTGCCCTTGAAGATGTGTGGATTAGTGCCCTGGAAGATGTGTGGATTAGTCCCATGGAAGATGGGTGGCTTAGTGCACTGGAAGATGTGTGTCTAAGTGCCCTTGAAGATCTGTTGTTTAGTGCCATGGAAGATGTGTGGCTTGGTGACCTGGAAGATGTGTGGCTTAGTGCCTCGGAAGATGGGTGGCTTAGTGCCCTGGAAGATCTGTTGTTTAGTGCCCTTAAAGATGTGTGGATTAGTGCCCTGGAAGTTGTGTGGCTAAGTGTCCTTGAAGATGTGTGGCTTAGTGTCCTTAAAGATATGCGGCTTGGTGCCCTGGAAGATGTGTGGATTAGAGCCCTGGAAGATGTGTGGATTAGTGCCCTGGAAGATCTGTTGTTTAGTGCACTGGAAGATGTGTGGATTAGTGCCCTGGAAGATGTGTGGATTAGTGCCCTGGAAGATATGTTGTTTAGTGCCCTGGAAGATGTGTGGCCTAGTGCCCTGGAAGATGGGTGGCTTGGTGCCCTGGAAGATGTGTGGCTTCGTGACCTGGGATATGTGTGGCTTAGTGCCCTGGAAGATGGGTGGCTTAGTGCCCTGGAAGATGTGTGTGTGGCGGCTTGGTGCCCTGGAAGGTGTATGGATTAGTGCCCTGGAAGATCTGTTGTTTAGTGCCCTGGAAGATGTGGGGATTAGTGCCCTGGAAGATGTGTGGCTTAGTGTCCTTGAAGATGTGTGGCCTAGTGTCCTTGAAGATATGCGGCTTTGTGCCCTGGAAGATGCATGGAATAGTTGCCTGGAAGATATGTTGTTTAGTGCCCTGGAAGATGTGTGGCCTAGTTCCCTGGAAGATGGGTGGCTTAGTGTCCTTGAAGATGTGTGGCTTAGTGCCCTTGAAGATCTGTTGTTTAGTGCCCTGGAAGACTGGTGGCTTGGTGACCTGGAAGATGTGTGGCTTAGTGCCCTGGAAGATGGGTGGATTAGTGCCCTGGAAGATGTGTGTGTGGCGGCTTGGTGCCCTGGAAGGTGTAGGGATTAGTGCCCTGGAAGATGTGTGCATTAGTGCCCTGGAATGTGTATGGATTAGTGCCCTGGAAGATTTGTGGATAAGTGCCCTGGAAGATGTGTGGCTTAGTGACCAGGAAGATATGTGGCTTAGTGTCCTTGAAGATGTGTGGATTAGTGCCCTGGAAGATATGTTTGTTTAGTGCCCTTGAAGATGTGTGGATTAGTGCCCTGGAGGATGTGTGGATTAGTGCCCTGGAAGATCTGTTGTTTAGTGCCCTTGAAGATGTGTGGATTAGTGCCCTGGAAGATGTGTGGATTAGTGCCCTGGAAGATGTGTGGCTTAGTGCCCTGGAAGATGGGTGGCTTAGTGCCCTGGAAGATGTGTGTCTTCGTGCCCTGGAATATGTTGTTTAGTGCTTAGGGCTTAGTGTGTGTGCTTAGTGTGTGCTTAGTGTGTGTGTGCTTAGTGTGTGTGTGCTTAGTGTGTGTGTGCTTAGTGTGCTTAGTGTGCTTAGTGTGCTTAGTGTGTGTGTGTGTGTGTGTGTGTGTGTGTGTGTGTGTGTGTGTGTGTGTAGGCAACGTTTATGCATCCTTGTATGCATATCAAAATAACACTGAGAAACAAATACCTGGTAGATATAGATTAGATTCTTAACATTAACTGTATACATATACTTGAATCAAATTGTATCTTTGTTTTTATATCAATTTACCAAAAAATATATCCTCCAGATGCAATAATGTGTATCGCTTATATCTCTATATGTTTTGATGGTGACACGACCTAATCCCCCAAAGGGTGAAGTAACGCCTTCAGCCATGAAAGGTCCAGCAGCTACTAAATTGTTTTGATCTGGAGCCAACAAATTTGGATACGGGTCAAGTTATTTTCATATTTTATGAGTGTTTCATTCATTTAACGCATTCTCCCATTCATTCTCAACCCACATGGGTCGGCCGTGTGTCTCTTGGAAGTGCAAGGGTCCGCTGGTCGTGCGTTCGACTCGCTCGATGCGCCTTGATTATGCTACTTGGCCTGTCTATACTCATGGTCTTGGGCTGCGGTTTACGTCATGATCAACGACGTCCGTTCCTTTCGGCTTCGTTCCAACATTTAGATGGTAGTCTATTATTTCGATTTCAAGTTATCTTCTTCATTTAAATGCCGTGATTATATATGTGTCCCATTTTGGTGCCTTGTGGCTTCTGGGAAGATGGTGCTTAAACAGTTTGCATTATTCACAAACTAATTCAGGCCACATTATGCTTTTGCAAAACCTCAAACGTGTCGGTTCAATTTTGAGGTTTCAGAGAACTAAATGTTATATTTTTCCAATTCAAAAATAAAAGACACTTGTTTATTATACTTGCATGATTACCCCCACTTTGTTCCTATACATCGTTTCAACTTGCAAGACCTTGTGATTTCGGAAAACACTTCGAATCTTCACGATGGGAACTATTTTCATTCCGCTCATTCATTACGCCGAACATCAGTATTCACATAACCTGTACACAAACAGAATATGTCGGCAGTTTCCATGTTTGCCACATCATTTGATTGATTCATCTGCATCCACTACATCCCCATCACACCTGGCCTTCACGACATCCGGACTTCCCACGGCAGAAAGCTGGAAGATTGCTAATTGGAGCACATGTTATCATAAATGTATTATTGAACTATTGGGATGGGGATTTGTCGGCCACAGAAGAGCAATATGGTCAGGATATCTGGAGTTAAGGTGGCCCCGTGTTTTGGTGTTTTTTTTAATTTTTAGCTTCAAGCAAAATGTTAAAACCACTTGGACTTAACCAAGCTTGACTAACAGAAAAAATATACACCTCATTAACAATAAAGAACAGAAAAGTATCAGTACTTGAAATGATACATAAATGACCATTTTTGTTCCGCCATGTTCGATCCACATGTTTGCAGCTGGACCATGTCGGACCCCACCCCGGGGGCTGCCTGCACTAATGTGGCGCACAGAGGCCCCAACTGACCATTGTAAATAAGTGCCCCCTCACTGTTTGTCGTCCAGTTGGGCATAGCTAGGTCTCCTTCCACATACGGACAATGAGTGAGGGTAAGTAAAAAGCTGTTTTGGTCGAAGCCCACACACTTATCCTTGTGTTTAAACCTACCCCATCTATCAACAGAAAATGTGTTCTCTTTAACAACGACAACAAACGACATACAAGTTGACGTGAGGCCTAAGCGTCCGGTATCAGCCACATACAGACAGTGTTTGGTCAAGGAGCTGGCCACCTCGCCATACTGTACATCGTCTTCTGATGGCACAGGTTGTTCTGGGAGGACAGTCTTCAGGAACCAAGAGAAACTCTTGCTCTTCCTTTGCCACCTCAGTCTTCGTCTTTCCTCAATGGACTCCCATTCAGCTTTGGAGAACTCAGGTTCAGGATCTTGCCAAGCTCTGATAGCCGCCCTCGTCAACTCTTTGTAATCATCCATCCAGACTTCAGCGACCCGTAAGTTGTTCTTGGCCACCACGTAATTCCTTTCCGCAGAACCGAAATTGATCTTTGTATCTTTGAAGATGTGTCCCACTTTGGAGCAGGGTATGAGCTCCACCCTGCCCCCGGTCATCCACACGTTGAAGGACATCTCAAAATGTTCTCCTCCCCAGATAGCAAGACCGGAATCAAAGCGTCCCAGAGCCTCGAAGTAGGACTTTGTTATTACAATAGAACCGCCTTGTAGAACAGGGAATGGGACTGGGGCAAAGTCGCTCCTCTTGAACTGGTTTAGATATTGCGGCAGAGGAAACCATAAGTAACTGCGATGGAAGACACCAAACAGTAAGGTATGACAAGAACAAGTCCACAACTGTGATCGAATGCGACGCATAAACATAGCTCGGAATGACGTATCAAATATAATAAATATATCAACATTAAATTACAGACTGCGGTAAACACGTAGAGTGTGCCGTTAGTATAACTGTATTGTACTGCAAGACTAACAGACGACTGTTTTTATTGGTTCTTAGTAGTTTGCCTTGGATTCCCACAATAATGTCATTTTATCACCAGATAAGACAAGAAGTGCCAGCAACATCTATTTCAAATGGTCATATATATCAACGTTATCAATATAAATCACAATTGCTGGACAGATTACTGATTGTTTGCTCATTACATTTCACATACATTACGTGTACAACGTTATGAAAAGCTTGTATACATTGCTAAAACTTCTTACCTCATATCCCAGCCAAATCCACCTCTATGGTCTATAGTCTGGCCAGTGTCAATGTCGAATGTGTCCGACAATATGGGCGGTATTTCTGATTGAAGCACCAGCTCCTCCTCCTCCCCGAGGCGGTGAAGTAGTGGCTCCACCCAGCCGTGGTTCACTTCCATGTGGGCGTCCAGAAATACCAGCACCTCTCCCCGGGCAACGTCAGCCCCAAATAACCGGCTCCGTATCAAACCTTCACGCTGCTTGTTGCGAAGCAGTTTAATTCTAGGATCAAGAAGACTGAAGTAATCCTGCAAGTCCTGACCCAGGTAGCTGAAGGTACTCATGTCGTCCACCAGCAGGACCTCCAGCAGCACTTGCGGGGGGGTCCGGGTCAGCAGGGCATGCACGTGACGCACTAGGGGGGTGAGAGCCTCGTTGTAAAACGGGGAGATGACGGATATTGTTGGAAAGGACGTGTAGTTAAACGTCCTGTCAAGACACTCTTTGGGTCTCGCGTCTTTGATATCTCGTGAGACTGGTATCTCGTCACTCCTAGTTAAATTATAACCATAATGGTCATCATCGGGTCGAATGTGGGATTTCATTATCTGATCCAACATATGTTCCAAGCGCAATGCTTTGTCGGGGGCAATGTCATACTTCTTGTAGGTGTCACTTCGTATCTTCCTGGATCTGTGAACGGAAGTAAATTTAGTGTGAACACGGATAGCTGCATAGTGATGATGATCTGAGGGACCTTATACCACGGGGGCACAACTGGGCACTATCACAAATTAAATACTTAACAATAATCCAAACTCCACAACATGACTGGCCAGTCCACTGGAACTTTCGGCCAGTCAAAGACCCATTGTATCTGCGTTACAATGGTATTAACTGGCTAAAACCTTCAAGAGAGGTAGGCATAGATCGTTGGAATCTCATAACTTTGGACGTAATACCTCTGGAGACTACTAATCTCATTAAAATCAGATAGGAGATCGCGTTAGTTGAGCTTTTAAATTAGCGATGATTCTAAAGTCTATGTACGACTGTGTGAAGCTGAACGAACTATGACGAAAGTAGAAAGTATAGCGACGCCATAATATTGCTATGGATACAGTCGAAGGAACATTTGTGTTCTCTGTTGGCTTTCACTTGTACAAATCAAGATTTCCAAATTAAAGAGATAAAAAATAAAGCCGAATTGTTTTAGAAAGCCTGCAGATAATTGGCTGAAGACCCGACGAAGTGTTGTCTTTAGATTCGCTTAGGGTTCACCCGTCTCAACCATGTGTGGAGTTGTCGGAAGATCTACAAGCAGATGTTTCTGATCAGAGTAACAGATGTTAATTGGGAGACAACGAGGGGTGGCAGAACAGTTCGCACCCTACTTACCAATAATACGCTCACCGCCAAAAGAAACGCGAACTATAGAAACATATGGAGAAGTATGTAAGATAAGAAGAGATGTTCCCAATGTGAACCAATGCATGACATATCTAACAATCAGTCGAGTGTTACCACAGTGTATTTATTCTTATCACTATATGCTGCACGTGATTTCCAAACTTCACACGCAAATCCAGAACGAGACAAATGGTGCATCTCGAGTCATGAATCTATGACGTCAGATGTGATGCGTTCATGAGCGTCGGTTCACAGAACATAACAGTATGTTCGTTTGTGCATCGAATTAATCTTGAATATGACTAATGTTTCATATATTAACCAACTTGTATGGTATTCGCGTTTCTCTTGCCGGTGAGTGTATATACATTTAACATGCTTAAACGCTTCATTTGAACCAAATACACACCCAGGTTGCATGTTTCTGCAGGCAACAAAATGACGGTGTATTCTCTGTTGATGATAATTTGACAACATTGTCTACTGCACTGTCATCAAGTATCTCCAATAGGTGGGCCACGGTGTCCAGGGGAAGAGAGAGTCTTGATGATGAACCAGGATCAGGACAACCTTCAATTGTGTGATTATGGGTGACTCAACACACGTCACGTAGCCAACACGGTCGGCATCTCTCATGTGATGGATGAAGTGGGCATGACAAAGCTTTCAGCCCCCTGGGATCAGGAACGCTCCAGGTTAACCATCTCACGTGAGAATTTGAAGCAGACCCAGCTGATGTTGTCAAGCGATTTGTAAGCATGGTTGAGTTTTCGGTTCACCATTAGCAGCAAGAGACAAAACAATAGCTGAAGCAGTGAAAATGTCTGACGTCTCTTCCGAAGAAGGCAAAGTTTTCTTGGATTCCAAAGGACTCCTACTGATGTACTACCTCCCGGAAGGCCACACAACTAATGACCAATATTATGCTAATCTGCTTATGCAACTGCGTGAGAACATCACAGCTAAAAGTGGTGGAAAACTCACTTAAGGAGTGTTGTACCTCCAGGACAATGCACCTGTGCACAAGTCTGTGGTCGCCATGGCTGCACCGCAATACTGTGGATTAGAACTCTTTAAACATCCTTTGCATCCACCAACTGTGGCACCGTTAGATTTCCACCTCTGTCCAAACTTGAAGAAAGAGCCGTCTGGCAAGCATTATGCAGATGAGGATGCCATTTCTGTTGTGGATGACTGTATACACCACAAGGAGGAAGACATCTGCATCTGTCTGATGCAGGCACTCATGCATCATTGGTAGAAGTGTGTGGACTTCGGGGTGGGTTAGGCCGTAGTTAACTTTTCTTCACAAGTATCACTTGTTCCCAACTTGTATTTTCATGATTCAAATAAAACTGTTTTCTATAAAAACAAATCCACCCGGCTGGGTACGGCACGGAATAAGCAACAATCTCAATCAACGCGGTTCCTCACAGTCGGACACAGTTTACAGCCACCTCTCGTACATAGAAAGAAATAGCATGACTTAGTGTTGCTTGTGTATAAACAGAGCTGTGCCTACTTCAGACGCTCGTTTCATGTTGAATAGAAAACGTGCAGTGGCTCAAGAAATACCTTTGATTATAATTATAGTTGTTTTAAAACAATATCATCATGCATTGGGTTTCACTGTTGTCTGGAAACAGAGGTAAGGACCTCAATATCGATACGACTGTCATAATATCCATCCTTCAAAACTCACTTTAAGAAACGGGCCAATGAATTGAACTCACCCTGTCTTGACCGCGAGACCTCTACAGACCTCTGCACATCTTGCCGGCTCGGGCTCATCTTTGTCAACAATCACATACAGAATACCCGCCATGAACATACCAGCTACACAAAGCTGCCATGTCAGAGCCGTGTTTCCATCACTCTTCTTCTTCTTCATGGTGAATAAAGGTGTCACAGTGGTGGTGTCGGCATTTGATAGCGCCATGCTGAGCCTGGCCCACCGGGTGAAGGCAACAATGTTATGTTTTGACTCAAGACAACATCCGTTGTGAACGATCAATTCGTGGGGTTTGAGGGGTTTGTTACGTGTGGTGTGAAAACATAACACACTGCCAGCTTCATTTGTTTTCAGTATGGCAAGCTGATGTTTATGTCCACATGTCAAAACGGAAGATACACGATTGTATCGATATTAACTGAACACGTGTAATAAATCTATCTTCGCCTTTTTTCATCACTGATGTATGATGATGATTTTGCTCAGATTTACTTAGTTATTTCAAACAAGAGAATTTGATGAAGTTATTAGGATATCTGATTTGACCAAGTTTGTGAAATTAGGGGATCGTTCAGAAAACGTACAATTTTCTGTGCAACAACTTCTGGTTTATTGCAGTTAGCGGCAAGTAGCACACAACTTATGAACTAGATGAACAGTGACGATAAGATAAGTCCTGCCATGTGTTATTCTGACCCTGATACTGAAACTAGTAGATCCACTTTGACAGTGCTACTGAAATCAGTGGATCCACTTTGACCCTGATCCTGAAACCAGTAAATCCACTTTGACAGTGCTACTGAAATCAGTGGGTCCACTTTGACAGTGCTACTGAAACCAGTAAATCCACTTTGACAGTGCTACTGAAACCAGTAAATCCACTTTGACAGTGCTACTGAAATCAGTAAATCCACTTTGACAGTGCTACTAAAACCAGTAAATCCACTTTGACAGTGCTACTGAAACCAGTAAATCCACTTTGACAGTGCTACTGAAACCAGTAAATCCACTTTGACAGTGCTACTGAAATCAGTAAATCCACTTTGACAGTGCTACTGAAACCAGTAAATCCACTTTGACAGTGCTACTGAAATCAGTGGATACACTTTGACAGTGCTACTAAAACCAGTAAATCCACTTTGACAGTGATACTAAAACCAGTAAATCCACTTTGACAGTGCTACTGAAACCAGTAAATCCACTTTGACAGTGCTACTGAAATCAGTAAATCCACTTTGACAGTGCTACTAAAACCAGTAAATCCACTTTGACAGTGCTACTGAAACCAGTAAATCCACTTTGACAGTGCTACTGAAACCAGTAAATCCACTTTGACAGTGCTACTGAAACCAGTAAATCCACTTTGACAGTGCTACTGAAATCAGTAAATCCACTTTGACAGTGCTACTAAAACCAGTAAATCCACTTTGACAGTGCTACTGAAATCAGTGGATACACTTTGACAGTGCTACTAAAACCAGTAAATCCACTTTGACAGTGCTACTGAAACCAGTAAATCCACTTTGACAGTGCTACTGAAATCAGTAAATCCACTTTGACAGTGCTACTAAAACCAGTAAATCCACTTTGACAGTGCTACTGAAACCAGTAAATCCACTTTGACAGTGCTACTGAAACCAGTAAATCCACTTTGACAGTGCTACTGAAATCAGTAAATCCACTTTGACAGTGCTACTGAAACCAGTAAATCCACTTTGACAGTGCTACTGAAATCAGTGGATACACTTTGACAGTGCTACTAAAACCAGTAAATCCACTTTGACAGTGATACTAAAACCAGTAAATCCACTTTGACAGTGCTACTGAAACCAGTAAATCCACTTTGACAGTGCTACTGAAATCAGTAAATCCACTTTGACAGTGCTACTAAAACCAGTAAATCCACTTTGACAGTGCTACTGAAACCAGTAAATCCACTTTGACAGTGCTACTGAAACCAGTAAATCCACTTTGACAGTGCTACTGAAACCAGTAAATCCACTTTGACAGTGCTACTGAAATCAGTAAATCCACTTTGACAGTGCTACTAAAACCAGTAAATCCACTTTGACAGTGCTACTGAAATCAGTGGATACACTTTGACAGTGCTACTAAAACCAGTAAATCCACTTTGACAGTGCTACTGAAACCAGTAAATCCACTTTGACAGTGCTACTGAAATCAGTAAATCCACTTTGACAGTGCTACTAAAACCAGTAAATCCACTTTGACAGTGCTACTGAAACCAGTAAATCCACTTTGACAGTGCTACTGAAACCAGTAAATCCACTTTGACAGTGCTACTGAAACCAGTAAATCCACTTTGACAGTGCTACTGAAATCAGTAAATCCACTTTGACAGTGCTACTAAAACCAGTAAATCCACTTTGACAGTGCTACTAAAACCAGTAAATCCACTTTGACAGTGCTACTGAAACCAGTAAATCCACTTTGACAGTGCTACTGAAATCAGTGGATACACTTTGACAGTGCTACTGAAACCAGTAAATCCACTTTGACAGTGCTACTGAAACCAGTAAATCCACTTTGACAGTGCTACTGAAATCAGTGGGTACACTTTGACAGTGCTACTGAAATCATAGGGTACACTTTGACACTGCTACTGAAATCAGTGGGTACACTTTGACAGTGCTAATGAAACCAGTAAATCCACTTTGACAGTGCTAATGAAATCAGTGGATACACTTTGACAGTGCTACTGAAATCAGTGGGTACACTTTGACAGTGCTACTGAAATCAGTGGGTACACTTTGACAGTGCTACTGAAATCAGTGGATACACTTTGACAGTGCTAATGAAACCAGTAAATCCACTTTGACAGTGCTAATGAAATCAGTGGATACACTTTGACAGTGCTACTGAAATCAGTGGGTACACTTTGACACTGCTACTGAAATCAGTGGATCCACTTTGACACTGACACTGAAATCAGTGGATACACATTGACAGTGCTACTAAAACCAGTAAATCCACTTTGACAGTGCTAATGAAATCAGTGGATACACTTTGACAGTGCTACTGAAATCAGTGGGTACACTTTGACAGTGCTACTGAAATCAGTGGGTACACTTTGACACTGCTACTGAAATCAGTGGATACACTTTGACAGTGCTAATGAAACCAGTAAATCCACTTTGACAGTGCTAATGAAATCAGTGGATACACTTTGACAGTGCTACTGAAATCAGTGGGTACACTTTGACACTGCTACTGAAATCAGTGGATCCACTTTGACACTGACACTGAAATCAGTGGATACACATTGACAGTGCTACTAAAACCAGTAAATCCACTTTGACAGTGCTAATGAAATCAGTGGATACACTTTGACAGTGCTACTAAAACCAGTAAATCCACTTTGACAGTGCTAATGAAATCAGTGGATACACTTTGACAGTGCTAATGAAACCAGTAAATCCACTTTGACAGTGCTAATGAAATCAGTGGATACACTTTGACAGTGCTACTGAAATCAGTGGATCCACTTTGGCACTGCTACTGAAATCATTGGATACACTTTGACAGTGCTACTAAAATCAGTGGATCCACTTTGACAGTGATACTGAAATAAGTGGATCCACTTTGACAGTGCTACTGAAATAAGTGGATCCACTTTGACAGTGCTACTGAAATCAGTGGATACACTTTGACAGTGCTACTGAAATCAGTGGATACACTTTGACAGTGCTACTGAAATCAGTGGATACAATTTGACACTGCTACTGAAATCAGTCGATCCACTTTGACAGTGCTACTGAAATCAGTCGATCCACTTTGACAGTGCTACTGAAATCAGTGGATACACTTTGACACTTCTCCTGATGCCTCTGATGAAGAGATCCGGTAAGTAAACTGTCATGCAGATCTCGGTCCATTGGAGGATTTGAAAAGCATTTTCACCGCCAACTCGTTGTCAACAGATTATTTCCAAGTATTTTCATGTTTCTTATCAAGGTGCTCACTTGATTTGATGGACCCGTTTTATCACAATATAGATCTTGATTATCGATCAGATCGTCTTGACTGGGCGCGCTGTTTTGTTTGAAACAAACAAATGTAAGTGATACGAGAGGTGGAATCTGATAGGAGAGGCTTAAAGGAACATAACTCGTAATAACCATTGGTGGTGCTACGATCGAGCCCAAGAATTTAAGCCTAGTTCGGCAAGGATGGAAACTGGACTTTTAAAGTCAGCTAACTCCTTGCCTCGGGTCATTAGATTGAACTTGGATATACCACTTAAAACAAATTCGGACCTTGTAAACATTTCCGTGAACGTGATTTTAGCAAAATCAAACAATAGTGAGCATCGTTATTAATTCAACAAGCATGAGTGAGTGAGTATGTTTTACGCCGCTTTTAGCAATATTCCAGCGATATCACGGCGGGGGACACCAGAAATGGGCTTCACACATTGTACCAATGTCGGGAATCGAACCCGGGTCTTCAGCGTGATGAGCGAACGCTTTAACCACTAGGCTACCCGACCGCCCCTCAACAAGCATGAAATACTCACATCCCCCGCTAATATGACATGTCGGGTGTGTGCAATGCATTAGCTCCTGTGAACTATGTTCACTGGGCATTTTTGTAAAGAAATATGGTACGTTTTTCAAGATCTGCTCCGGAAACGAGGACTACCGCCATTTGCAGTCTAAATCAAAGTCGTTGCCATGGAAACTCGAAAGATATTTTTTTTAAAAATCCCAAACTATCAAAAGGCACCAGTTCACCACTAGATCTATCTATGTGCTAAGTTTGGTGAAGAAATATGGTACGGTTTTCAAGATCTGCTCCGGAAACGAGGACTACCGCCATTTGCAGTCTAAATCAAAGTCGTTGCCATGGAAACTCGAAAAATATATTTTTTTTAAATCCCAAACTATCAAAAGGCACCAGTTCACCACTAGATCTATCTATGTGCCAAGTTTGGTGAAGAAATATGGTACGGTTTTCAAGATTTGCTCCGGAAACGAGGACTACCGCCATTTTCAGTCTAAATCAAAGTCGTTGCTATGGAAACTCGAAAAATAATTTTTTTTAAAATCCCAAACTATCAAAAGGCACCAGTTCACCACTAGATCTATCTATGTGCCAAGTTTGGTGAAGAAATATGGTACGGTTTTCAAGATCTGCTCCGAATCTATCAAA